CGTTAGCTCTTCATATGGTGACCTCCTAATCCAAATTAGTATCAAATGATATCAAAATTGCTAAACGTCTTGAAAACCCGAAAAAAAAAAAAAGAAACACAATTAGTTTAGTGAGTTTTTAGACATTAAACATTTTTGGGATGGACAATTATGCTGTAACGCCGATTAGACAATTTTGTTGTTACTCTATATATATATATATATATATATATATATATATATGTTTAATACGGGCCGTCAAAAAATGTGTAAATTTTCTTTTCATTTTTGTTTGGAAGTAAAGTCTGATGATCCGCCGTCCTTTTAAAAAGGGCTGTGGTGAAATAATTTATTACATGGATACTTAAAGTGGTCTGTTTTATTTAATATATATATATATATATATATATATATATATATATATATATATATATATATATATATATATAATGGAGATAATAGGTATCATGAAACTGTTTATTATATTATTTACCTAGATATAGTATTAATCTTAACATTGCATCACATATAGGTTTTAACATTAGTATGAGCAAAGCATTTAAAATATATTTATATCAACATATAAAATATTACGAAGCATCTCGAGTCATAGAAAGAAATATTTTCCACGTTAAGCTTAACACATTCGATTGTGTTTCATCTTGACTGAGACGTGAACGTCCTTTTTTGATATATCACAGTACATGTTTCTATTCTTTCTTTATTCTGTTATTCTCCTGCGCCCATGTTTCACAGTCAGAACACGGTGTTTTATCGTGTGAACTCTTCTTCCTAAAAACATCTGAATTGAGGCTATATAATTATGGCCTCATCAGATCAAAGTATATTTATCCAGTAGGTATATGGCTCACATAAATGTTCATTAGCAAATTTCATGTGTCATTTTCGTTACACGATCAGAAGTCATGTTCCCGGAGAGCGATGCTGACAGCAAGAAGCGTAGCTGTTATTCATGTTGCAACTTTTAGCTTTAACTCTTTTAAAGTTACCCGTTGCTCTTTCTTTGCCCTTCATACAACCTTGCTTGCAGCATGGCCGGCAATTTTTCAAGAGCCTTTAAATCGAAGACAGTCCATATTTGAGCCATGCTCTTTCCACTTGCTCTTTTATTTTGTCTTTGAAAATCGTAGTATTTCGGTTTTATATCTGTCTATATTTCTGAGATGAGGTATTATGTACATTATTTACATTATTCGGACTATTTATTACAACTAAACCCTTTATTTCGCTCTGTTCTGGTTAACAGTTAACCTGTTAATTTCCCTCTGAAAGTTCTTAGCCAGGTATTGAACTCACACTCTATGGGACCTGTCACTGGATTTAACTAACGCCTTTATCCACTGTGCCATGTGTCTTTGAGGACATCTGTGCATGAATTTCTGGGTATTATAAATCTAATGTCTTCAGCAAACATTTTTTACCAGTGCTCATTTTGCAATTTTTGTTGTTATTATCGCTTTGTTACTGTGGCAACGATGCAGGGATGAAGAAATAACTCTTTATCAGTCCTTATAAAATTCCATGCAATGCATTACTCAGTGCTGAGAATTTTCATGAGATTGGACAGTGCCAAATTTCTCATTTACAAGAAATAATTTTATTACTCGAGGTTTTGCTTTGGCACAAGTCAGAAAAATGTCATACACGGCAGAATGAATCATTTTTGGAGTCAATCTAGAAAGGTAGAGATTAATACTTTCGATAAGAATGTCGAAGGCTAAGGCGTTTGAAAGTGTATGGCATGCTAATCATCTTCATAAGTTGAATTCTGACCGAGTTCTATATTTGATTCAATCTTTATCAAACCGCATCATGAATGCACACTTTTAATTGCCTTATGCTGAAGTTTTGAATTAACGCGAACTGCCAGAGCTCTCACTTGATCCTACTTGTTCCATCGTTACATATCTTTTGAATATCTCGAAGGCGTTTGACAGAGTTTGGCATGCTGGTCTTCTTTACAAATTGAAGGGCCATTCTTCTAGCTCTCTCGATGTCCATGAGGGCTCTATTTTGGGGCCTACTTTGTTCCTTATTTCAACAACGACCTTCCCGGTGTCATCACTTGCCGACTTAGTATCTATGCTGATGACACAACTATTTACTCTGGTCGTACTAATAGGTCTGATAGGCTCGATAAAATCAAATTGACAGCTGATCGTGAAAATGACCTTCAATCTGTTGTTAAATGGGGCAAGGAATGGCTTGTTAATTTAACGCCAACAGAACTGCTGTCATTTAATCGTCTTAAGAATCCATTTTTGCCTTTCATCATCTTGGCTGATGATAACCTCGAGGAGAGCGACTTATTGCCCATCTCGGACTAAGGATTTCTACTGACATCAAGTGGGACGATTATATGAAATCAGATGGTTGTCTTGCTTTTTGGAAAATTCTTTTTGATTAGAGTGATGGCTATTTTAATGAGAGATCCTCTCGTGAGTAATTTCAACTCAATACTCGACATGATTTACCAGAGCGCCTCTGTTAAGAAGTTATTCGTAAATGTCCTTAATTTTTATTTTAACTTTTTTAGAAGTCTAAAGAATGAGTATACGACTCATATGTGTGTGTGTGTGTGTGTGTGTGTGTGTGTGTGTGTGTGTGTGTGTGTGTGTGCAGACAAATTTCATAAGCCTGTCATAGTCTGGTGGGTGCTGCCCGTTAACTGCGCAGCTGGTGACTACCAATTAATTCCTCCTCACAGTTTGTTCAATCTGGAACGGCTTCTATTGTTGAATAACAATAATCAATGTGAATGTATGAATCGAGATACAGTAATAATGATATTAAAATTCAACAGAAACTACAAATGGTTGTCTTACATAAAATGAAAATAGAATTTGACATTCTCAATCGAGTACGTATATATATATATATATATATATATATATATATATATATATATATATATATATATATATCAAATATGTGGTGCAGTTCAATTTATATTACAATGAATCATTCATACAAAAATAGATTAGTAAAAGTTAATAAATATAAAATGGCGAAATCTCTTCGCTAACAAAATTTTTAAAGTGCATTAACCTGCCAATGACTCGATGAATTTTATGATCTTTGTTCTTTTTTTTAATATTATAAGCTGTATAAGGTCTTTCTTTAATACGTAAGTACTTTCAACTCTACATTCAGTCATCCTCAGGCATGGGAATTAGTTTGTTTTCGGTAAAATTTAGGTAGAATCCGAAACGAAAAAATATAATGCGAATCGAAATATGTTTTTTTTTTAAATGTGTTATTGATAAGGTTGAATTTTTTGAAAATTTTAGAGTGCATTTTTTTTTTACTAATATGGTAATTTGACAATTTTTTTGTTGTGGGAGTTTATCAGTTAATGTCGCATGAACTAAATAGTTCAATAAATAGAGTAATGTCTCAGTTTTATTTTTTTCTTTGAATGATTCATTGTATATATATATATATATATATATATATATATATATATATATATATATATAGTTCTAGGTCTGTTCATGTCTTTCCAAAAAGTCTCTAGATGTAAATGAATAAATATACTGTTTAATATATAAATATAAACAAAGAAACTACTCAAATACGCATAAATATATATATATATATATATATATATATATATATATATATATATATATATATATAAATAATTATATATATAATGAATTTAAGCATCTCGGTACCACACTTTCACTGCCGAAAACAGTTAAATGTAACTGCTTCTTCTCCAACAGCTTCTTCTCTCGCACTTCCCCGACAGTAGAACTCCCTTCCTCATACTTGCTTCCCTGATAACTATAATCTTCAAACATTCAAATGTAATGTCTATCGACATCTTCCCATGCCTTAATCTTGATCCCTGTCCTTCTCTTTATCTTTTCCTCTAACATTCCTCTTTTCTCTTTACTCTCACTCTCTGCAACCCCTTGCGTACTAGTGGTATTCCCACGGATTACCAAAACTTTCATTATCTTATTATATATATATATATATATATATATATATATATATATATATATGAGAACGAAAATAATACATAAATTCTAACGTTCACAGCATTAATTCAGATGGTACAATACTGATTGTAGAGCAGTAATTATTTATATATTATAATTTTTTCAAAACAATTTCTCACGACAAAGATGCAACTGAATAAATTGTTTTTGCCTATATGAAAAATATTTCATATATATATATATATATATATATATATATATATATATATATTCTAAGGGATTAATGCGTTTTGATTTTTAATTGACACTATTATTTGGTATTTTAAATGTTATATTTTAGTGGATGCACATGTTTCAATAGAGTCTTTTTCTTAATGGTGTAAATTGCATCTACTAGGCTGTCTATTTGAGAGTCCCTATCAAAGAAAACGTATCCTCCTGCAACTTTCGAATCATCATGTCGGAGGAAAAATTTTAAAAGTCCATTATTTTCTTAGAAAATTGTTGACGTTTCGTGTAGGAAAATAAATTTATCAGTTATGGATTTTTAATCAGACATTAGCTTTTGAGAAGGTCTGAACGAGAAGGGGTCCATTCTTGAAAAGGGTAATTAAACCTTGTCGGGCTGTGAAGTTCTCTGTGACCGAGTGGTCTAAAACTTATTTCATAGATTTTAAATAATTTCTGCGCAAAGTTGTCAACCTGCCACACCCTAATCTCTCCTTGGACAGTCCAAAATTAATCCCAAGTTGACTTAGAAAAGGCCAATTAGCATTAAAATGAAATCAACTTAAAATGAAACAAACTTCGTTGAATATGTTTGGTAAATGAATTCAAGTAAAGCCAGCTTTACACAATTTTACTTTCACTTTTTTTCCTTATTAACGCCCGATAAAAAACAAAAACAAAACTACAACGTGTGAATAAAGGAGATCGATTGCAGAAAAAAAAAATGACAATAGGATTTTTCCCGCAAGGTAACAGGTAGTGACGTCATTCACTATGTCCAGTTAAAATCGTTAATTTCCGATCAACTCCATCCAGTCACAAATGTCTCACAGCAAATATTATCCGATAACAAAAGTGCATTTATGTTGTAGGAGAAAGGAAAGGTATAAAGGCAGACCCATATGTAATACTAAAGGTAGACCCATATGTAAAACTAAAAGAAAAACTATTTCTTAAATTTTAGCCATTTTTCTTTTACAGAAGACGAAAAATATTTAACGGCTTTCTACAAATTTGGAATATTAAGTGTAGACCCATTGCATGGAGAGAAATGAAACAGATTAAGATAGATAAGATTGACAGATAGATAGATAGATAGATATGAACAGACTTAGATCGATATATATGTGCAGATTTATATATATATATATATATATATATATATATATATGTGTGTGTGTGTGTGTGTGTGTGTGTATGTGTGTGTGTGTAGTATGCACACACACATATACATAATCTACATTCAACATCATCACTTGATAAGACACCAGAAGTGTTGAAACAAAATGGCTATTTTTGTCGGGATTTTATAACATATTTATGCTATAATTTTCGAATAAATAATTATATATATATATATATATATATATATATATATATATATATATATATATATATATATATATATAAAGACAGATAAATTGATTTAATCTGGCTGGGATGGAAACATAAGTAGACAGCCTGATAATAGTTTTACATTGACATGATAAAATTTCATATTAAAACTTATAATTTGAAAGCTCGGAGCACCACACTCTTCTTACCCATATATACATATATATATATATATATATATATATATATATATGTGTGTGTGTGTGTGTGTTCGGATACTCGTTCACTGTATAAACGCCCAAAAACCTTGACTACTACTAAGCTACAAGTCTGTTACAATATCATGCTCTTTCTTTGATTTCTGCAGAGAGCTTCTCTCTCTCTCTCTCCCCCTCTCTCTCTCCCCCTCTCTCTCTCTCTCAGCAGCCGACACGTGACATGACGTAGGAAATACCGCAGTCTTATGGCTTACATCTGCAGTCAATGAGGAGAGAAAAAAAAGTCAATATCGGGAGGGCGACACAGGTACAACGACAGTCATTATATTAGCACCGCAGCCAAGACTGTTGGTGCGTGCAAGTCCGAGAAGATTTGCAGTCTTTTTCCCGGGGATTGTTGTTGATTAAGTTTTGCAGGCACACTTGAGAAATTTCCTCTGTCTATCCAGTGAATAACTAAATTGATTGGAATAAATATGACGTAGACGGGTTGCTCGGTTGAAGTGATTGCAGTTGGAAATTGCTTCTTTTTTTTGCCAGTTAATCGAAGAAATGATGGGAAACCCCATTCTCTCTCTCTCTCTCTCTCTCTCTCTCTCTCTCTCTCTCTCTTGCAAGTGTGTAACTACGTGGAAAATAAAGGTAGTAAATGCCCCTTGTTGCCTCCTGAAAAAAAAAACCATACCTCATATAAAAAATCTTAAGGAATGATATTTATTTTCTCCTAGTCGTCTAGACAGAGAAACTAAGATATTCAGTGAGGAGAAAAACTAACACACGCACATACATGCATGTTCAAGACATAATTCATTCCACGAATTGATAAGAAAGACTGAATCTGTTCAAAAATGTATTCATATGCTCCTGAAAATTATTTTCCGTTGAGCACGATGGGGAGAAATAGCGAATTTGTAAACAGTGACTACTGCTGCTGCTAATGCAAGACTCTTCTATTGAATTGACTCCTCTCGGTCATTGGTGTGTTTGTTTAAATTCACCCTCCTCTCTGCCGTGCACCGACAGCTTTGAGGTAGATTCGCCGAATGATAGCAAATCAGCCGGGTTTCGATCCCGGCTTAAAGCAATGTGATGTCTAGCCACAATGATGAACTATGATACAGTGAAACAGTCTGTATATAGATTTCAATATGGACCCTATCAAGGCAAACGCAAGGATTTTATTTTGCAACTAATATTTTTGAACACAAAAAATATCAATTTTCAAAACGGTCATGAATAATCTTTAACCTGTGAGACTCAAGGTAAACTATGGAAGATGATAAGTGATGCAGTTTAAGGCCTAATAAACGATAGTGTGCACAATGTTGTTGCTGTTGTAGAATTTTTTTATTTTTTTACAAATTTAGATATAAAACATTAGTTTCAAAACTGTCCTTGATTCGTACAAGAAGTTTTTTAAGTTAACTTACACACATATACACATACGCACGCATATATATATATATACATACATACATATATATATATTATAAATTAACTGATTTAAAATATGTTTTTTTCGCTACACAGTATTAACCATGTTTCAAAAATGGAGGCTGAAAGCTTCGAATTTAATTTTGTAATTAAATTAAAACCAATAAAAACACCGGATTATATATCTTACTGTTCTTCTTTTTTATTTATAAATACATACATACATAAATACATACATACATACATACATACATATATATATATATATATATATATATATATTTAAAGATATTTTTGTAGGTACAAAATTTAATGATCGAAATAAAAGTATAAAATTTAATATTACAAGACATATTAAAACAATATTAAATAATAATAAAAAAAAAAAAAAAAACTCAACAACAAGGGTGGGAAGCAACCGGTTTCGCTCCCGCTCGTCAGGCTTCCACGGGAGATTCAAAATTAAAACAATAAGAATAGGTGGAAAAAAAAAAAAAAAAATTTTTTTTTTTTCCAGGACGAAAGCTTGTAGTAAAATAAGAACTAATACGGCAGAAATTTATATAAACAAGGATCATTTCATTCATAACGGATACGGAGGTTTTTGTATATTATTTGAATTGTTTGCGATGATGGATGTCTCGCCATTTAAATCATTAACCTTTGCATTAGTTTTTGTGTGAATAATTCATGTTATATATATATATATATATATATATATATATATATATATAGGGGGGGTGTTAATGATATCGTTATTAAAAATATTTTATATTGATATAGTACATGTTACAGATCCGTAGGTATATAATCCAGGTGGATTCTAATAATATCAAATATTAAAACTGATCCACAAAAAGAGCTTAATTGTATTTATAATAAAAAAGCATATAAATTACACATTCTAAATCCCAAATGACCTCATGTGGGTATAAATCTGTTTCAACCAACGCTAAGTAGATTATATGTTTGTTTTTTAATGGAATAATATTTGGAATAATTATAGGATTCTAAAAACTCTAAGAAATCTGTAGGCCCCAATATTTTCCTAAAGAATAAATATAGACAGAAAACATTTTCAAAAAACCTTCAATATCCTATTATATATACAATGTTAAGAGTAAGGCATAAAAAATATAGAAACGCATAAAAAAGATACAGATATATCCTTTCGTGGCTGTACTATGTGTTTGATTATGTTTTTAATTAATAATTAATTTCATTTTTATTGGTATCTTAATTTCAGCGAATAAAAATGGAATAGAATATTAATTTTTACGTGCAATGTATTGGATATTAATGGCACGTAGGAAAATTTCGAAGTGGCAGTAAATATTATTTTTCTATTTTTTTCAAATAACATTTGAATTGAGAACCGATAATCGTTTTTTTTTTTTTTCATTTCACATAAATCTAACATTGGTATTATTTTTTTTTTCCTTAATTGACGGTTTAATTTTATTTAACCCGAGAACACTAATCGTGGGAATACAGTACCCAACGCAAATTTTCCTATTTTTAATTACAATTTTCAGTACCTGATGTTCTTACCTAAATAATGTTTTTCAGTTCCTATTAATGTTAATTCAAGGTACAAAGTTTGAAGTGCCTGCATATAAAATATTTCAAATAAAGATTTATATTTAATACTTTTTTTGATATTTTCAAAATCGGGTATGATATACCCGGGGTTAGTAGTGGTGTAACTTTAATTGATGCTTAGTGTTGTAGGGTTAATATTTTATTCTATACAGTATTAACAAGACAGCTGATGAATACAGTCAATTTGTAATATGTAAAAATATTATTTTTGTGTTAAACTTTCCGGGAATAAAAGATTTGAATCGAAGATGACGTCGATTGGAAAGAGAAATAGGCAAACACTTGTAGAAAAAGAAGCTAAAAAACAACACAAGGCTTGAGAGCCACTCAAAGTAAATGATATTGGTAAAATGATGAATGGTGATATGAATGAAACTAGAGTGGGTTAGACGTGAAGATTATCAGGATAAGGAGGAAGGATAAAGATTCTCCCGCTGGCAAGATTATTTATTATTTGATGTTATAGTTGAGAGAAGCTTTCTGTGGCCTTGTGTCAGAGATGGCGTATCTCAGTAAATAATCGAAATGAGAATCCGAAAGGGAAAAGAGAAAAACGCTGATCGTCTGCTATTTCATTCTATCAACATATGGCAACCCAGAGATGGCGGAAACGGAATTTACAATCGATAAAAAATATCGATCAAGAGAAAGAAAAAAAAAAACAATAAAAAAGGCGAGAGAATGAAAAACATGAACAATATTTGGGGTCGGGATAAAGAAAAAAAAAAAAAGAGAGCTAAATTGATGAGAGTTACGCGTCCGACCACAATCCATGAAAAAGTAAGGCGGTGTAAGTCTGTTCATATCTATCTATCTATCTATCTATCTATCTATCTATCTATCTATCTATCTATCTATCTATCTATCTATCTCAGTGTGTTTGAATGTATTAGTTTATTTATTAGTACTTTAATTATAATTTTATTTTATCGCATCATATTTTATTACTATTATTGATATCACTACTTTTCGTTACTTTAGTAATATTAATAATATTATTAATTATTTTATTGATTTTCCTGGAAAAAATAGAGTTACCTCCCTTGATTTCCTAACGTCTCTTTTTGTATAATACTAGAATACTATTATGAGAATTTATAATTCTTATTTCTAGCCTTCTTTTCAATCTTAAATGTTAATCTGGGCTTAAATTCAAAATTAAACTACAATTCATTAAAATATTTTAACAACAATAATATTCCACTGGCAGCAAAAAGGAATCACGGAATAAGAAGAAATTTCATTAAACCAGTGTTAACCGAAAACAAAAATACCAAAACTTTATAATTGCTTTGGCATGAAACTCATAGTTGTACAATGTAAAGTATTATGGATATTCCTTTGTGGCACCATGCATACCTGACGAGCTGAGAGAAATATTCATAGATATATGATTTGTTTTTTACGGTTTATCAACCATTTAATAATTATTTAAGGCCGAAAAATATTTTGGGTTTTAAGAATAATTATTTCTTTACATTCTAGCGATCTGGAAGAAAGAAAGAGAAAACGAAGAAGAAAGAAAGAAAAAATAATACGAAAACAGGTCATAGGCGAGCACACACACGCACGGCTAACAGATAACAGGTGTCGAAAAATATCCAGGTCAAGCATCTGACCGATTTCCGCGGATCAGCGAAAAATGGAAGTTTGTTATCAATTGGTTGTCACCCAAGGGAAAAGAAAGAAAGGAGGAAAAGGAGAAACGAAGTTTAGGAACAATGAAAATATTGATAAGTAACAAGAGGGAAGTGTGTCATTGGAATGATAGTAAAGGTCTAAGTGGGTGGGGAAGTGTATCTAAGGATATGAAGACAAACCATTAATACGAAAACATAGACAGTCTCCAGAATTAGGAAAAGCCCACACAAGGTGTTGTCGCTGGCGAAATTTTTTTTGAGATAATAAGGATTTTTATTATCAGACCTTCGAGCGGAGGGAAAATTGAAATATTTTTTTTCCGTTTCAGAAACGCCAACGAGTGTGAGAAATTCCTTTCTTAGATCATATCCAATTAGCGATAAACTGCTTGACAAATACCACGTGTTAAAAAGCCGAGAGTGTCACCTCAGTCGCTCATGATAAGGGCGATTTAAATTAATATTTTTGTTTTTTAAGCAAGGTATTTCTTTCCCAAAACAAAGCCACGGACTGTCCACGCCCGACTAAAGACGTCATTGGCTAAATAAGATCACATGACACACGAAGGAGGAGGAAAGATACCCGACCAGGACCTCATTGGCCGAGAGCGATCACGTGACGCACGAGGAGAATCCGTCGACGCCCTGTCAGAAGTGTAAGTGTGAGAAGCCGATACAAAGAAGCGGGGAAGCGGGTACACGCGCCTCAGAGGCACAGTAAGGGAATGGAAATGAGAGTGAGTTACCGAAAATGGAAAAGAATGAAAAATCCCTTAGCAGAAATAAGAAGGGTGGATACTTATTTAGAATTATCGAAGAACCCCTGGCGCCGACAGACCCACCCCAGTTTTGACTGCGTCAATAAAAACGAGACCCCAACCGACAGAAATCAGTTCAGCCGCGGACGGCGAAAGAGTTAAGCCGTGGACGAGATGAGCGCCCAGTGTTGAAACCGCGTCAAGATAGCTGACCAAGATTCACGCACACTTTTGGACTCTTCTTCAACCAAGAACAAGTAGTTTGAAGAGCGACTTAGAATCAAGACCACAGAAATAAGTTTTTTTCGACTTTCGTCCAAAGACACACCGAAACACAAATTTCTTAGAGAGCAGACAACTTGAAGCCTTAAAGTTGCCTAGTAAAAGCGTCGTGCCACAATCCACAGAACGGGTCGGGAAGTAGACATAGTCCTATGTACCGAGCAAATAGACATAAAAAGTTTGTCACCTTTTTCTTTGATACGTTGGACCTTGTGAGTTTTTATTTTATTTTATTTTATACATAATTGTGTGTTATCACCCCCGTTGGACTCAACTTGCATTACGGCCCCAACCCCTGTTTGATCTCGTTTGTCTAAGATCAATTCACAACGTGGGTAGGCAGACTGGAGATCAGTGCAGTTACCCTGGTAACCAGGCGTTGGAAGCGGGTTGGGAACGGCGAGGCTGGTATCAATCTAACCAAAGGGTTAGAACGTCACGTTTGGAGCAGCGAGGAGCGAACAGCTGACGCCGCGGCGAAGACGTCACAGTTGGTGCTGTCCGTGACCAGGATATCAGAGCCTGGGGAGCACGTGACGTCTGGTGGCGCCGCGACCGGGATCGAACGACACAGTCGACGCTGCGACCGGGGGACGACGTCACACCTTTATATATATAAAATAGCTCTGTTGTTTAACATTGAGCACTGTTTTTCTTACACTACAGTGTATTTATAGGTATTTGTATATGATTGCTCGCTCATACATCAACCTATATTTACCCGTTTAGTTATATATATATATATATATATATATATATATATATATATATATATGTTGTGGATTCCGAGATGAAATTCGGTATCCAATGAATGACAAACGCAGGAATGGAATATAAGAAATAAAATGTATTTACACAATAATACAATTGGTAATACTGTTAGTAAATCCAGAAACACGATTAGTAGCAATAATAATAATATATATATAATCTGGTAAATCTAGTCTCGAAGTAGGACTTCCTTAGTAACTGTGACTTCTACAAGCGGTTACCTCACACTATTACTCTACCTCCAACTCAATCACAATCACTGCTCACAATCTCTACGTCTGACCCTGGGTATCTATCGGCAGCAGACCAAGTACACACTAGTCGAGTCCACTTGTATGAAAAAAGGGTGGACCCCATAACAATATATATATATATATATATATATATATATATATATATATATATATATATATATCGCGATATAGAGAAACACGAGTACCGATATGAACTTTGTCTCATTTTTAGTGGTATTTTCTTTGTTTTTTGCGGCAATACACAGGTTGATATCTGAAATATGATCTTTTCTTTTCAGTTTATGTTTTCGTTTCCTTTTTTACCAGTTTTTTTTTTTGTTGTTGTCTTCTTTATTCATTGATTACTATTTATATCTTTTATCACTCAGCAGAATTCAAACTACTACGATTAAGATTTTTATTTAATTTTTCTTGTGTTCAAACAAGTGTTTACTTTTCTGGACACAAAGTGTGTAGAAACTGTCCAAATGTTTTATAATTCTAAGCAGTTTCAGCTATACTTTTAGCCATTATCAAGGATAATTTTATTCTTTTAATTTAATTGAATGTGTGCGTTATGTGTATGTTTTTAGTGTTATAGAAATCTTTTATTTTCCGAACACGGTTAGCACATTGTGGTCTTGTACGTAGTTATTATTTTTAAGCGTTGACTTTTTCTTTATTAATAAGGCTTGCATTATTATTTACATTTTACAGGTGTATGAGGTTATTATATTTGTATTTTCTATTAGTATGTTTCAGATGGAGTCTGGTAAGTTTGTGTGTGTTTAAATGGGTTCCAATGGAGCTATAGACAGATAGATGTAACGTAAGGCGTCTATATAGCTATGTAGTTGCGTGAACGATGTAATCATTTTTGAATTCGGTTTGATCAAGAACACAGTTACTTAAGGGTCATTTAAACTCATAGATAATCTTCGTTCGTTGTAATTTTGATTTTGCTGGTGTGTTGTTATTTTTGAGGATAATTATCTATAAAAAAAATAAAACAACTAACTTTATCCACACACACACACACACACACACACACACATATATATATATATATATATATATTGATTGCTTATACATTGTTTTTATATATAAAAGTGTTTAGGTAAATGCTCTGTTTATAAGAAACAGTATTAACAACATTTACCGGACTGAATATGAGAGAAATTCCATAGAAAATATCCGTCCTCAGACAGGAATCAAACCTACATCCTACATGGGATTTTCATACAGCGTAACGTGCTATGCCATTTAGCTACATGGGAAGCATTTGGGTACAGATGTCCAGTTACTGTTTTTAAACTACAAATTTTCCATGATTTCTCTCAAACGCTTATATCTGCTCGAAGCATATCTTAACGTAAACAAATGACATCATATATTATGATTTTTTAAAAGTAAATAGTCTTTTTATCAGCCCGATAAATATTGTTAATACTATTTATTATAAACAGAGCATTAAATATTTCTATCTATAAAAATAACGTATAAACAATAAATATATTAAAATAATTGTCGGATTATAATATTTTTTGTTTAAAAATATGATTCCTTCGCTACATAAGAGTTCTCATGTTTCAAAAACGAGAGCCGAAACAATCCAAATAATTATTAAAATTAAGTTGAATTGAGGTGTTTAGTCCCGTTTCATCTTCAAGCGAATCAATCATTAAATAGGAAAAACCCTTTCTGTAGTCGTCAAAAAACGAATTGAAATTCAGTGTAATACGGTTTGTATATAAAACACCCACGTGAATAAACAAATAAATAAAAAGATAATCAGATAGACAATAATCAAACAAAATCCTCCCGACACATAACGACTTGCAGCCGTGCCATAAAAATATCCCTCACTGAGAACTAACTAGAGGATGACCTGAGCAAAACCTCTCAGAAGATGATGAATCTATAGATAAGAATTAACTCTCTGGCCACTTAACGAAAATAACCCACCTAGCCACTCCCACAATAACGAATGTTATAACGAACCGTGCCTAAAAACACACGTAAACCAAGAGATAACTTATTCCTAAAATTTCGCTTGAGATATATTATAATATAAGCTCTACTTCTGTATAGAGCGCTGTCTTCTTAAAAATAAAAACAAAAATACTAAGGAACTCCGGATTATGCACCTAACGTGTTCTTTTCTATTTTCTGCATACCTGCAAAAAGGACTTTT